AAGCCGTTCATAGCTTTAATGATTAAATGAATACTTGTTTTGTGAGTCAATTGAATGGTATTTATAAATAAGTGTATAAATGATATGTCATTTAATATGCAAATTATGTTGACATGTATGGGTTGAGATGGGAAAGGGGGCAGGGACAATTGTTTGGCATTCATGAATTAGTAGTCATAACAAAATATGAGAATTGAAGTTTTGTAGTAGCCTTTTCCAAAAATTATCTATAATATATATTATATTGAAATTCATTTAATCACATATTAAACTATGATAAATGTAATGAATAACCAAATATTTATATTGAATGATTCAGTTTATATATAAATTATATTTATTTATGTGTGACTCGTTTAATATATATATTTATATAGAATTTTGTAAAAAGTGATTTTAAAGTTCCAATTCTCATATGATATAATAATAATAATATTTTGATTTCTAAAAATGTAAAGGAAGCTTACAGTAGAATATTAGTACAGTATATGATATTTTATATAAATCTAATCATGCCAATTCAAAATGTACAAGTAAAAATAAGATACGGTACAATACATGTAGTGTTATATAATTCAAAGTACTTGTAATATTTATGCAATTAATTTTAAATAAATCTGTATTAAGGTTAAGAGAAAATATTTTTTTTTATAAATTAATTATAAACAATGATATTTAAGTATTATAATTATAAATTATAAACATTTTATTTTATACTTTAAATTATTTAGTAGACTAATGATTCATTATGATTAGTAATGAATAAAATGTTTATACCATAAGTTAAATATGAGTAAAAAATAATTGAATAAAGTTTAGCCATTGTATTAGTAATACACAGAATTAGGATTAGTTGTAAAATAATGAGACAATTGCACATGTCTTCACAAGTTGTTTAACTATATTATCGACAATTAAATTCTTGTTAATTATATTTTGTGTTAATATGTCGAGTGATATAACGATGAATACCATTGAATCCCATGTGAATCCTATAGAAGCCAGGGATGAGACCAGTACTCGAAAGCATTCCGCAAGTCCTTACTGTTTTTTCACATGTAATGTACAGTCTGTTTAAACAATGCTATAATAAAAAATATCAAAATATGATTTCAAATAAACACTTTATTAATATATTAAATAGATATACATTTGTAATTATATTTTATGGATAATAGGCAGAAAATCCAAAGGTTAAAAAACTACCAAATTAGTTAAATTTTAAAATTCTTAGATAAATAGTTTTGAAAATGAGGGCTTGTTTTAACATGACTGTACATGTTGCAGGCATTTCTATAAGGCGGAGTTATAGATGTTTAGTACTGTTTATGCTATGAATTTTTCCCCCATAAAATGCACTGATAGTCCACTAAAAATTACTGCGTCTCTAATGGTGTACATTTTCATTGGTTGATCGAGTGCTGGATGAGACTGTCATTCAGATACCAATTGATTGCGAGGACAATGGTGTTAATGAGAGTGACAACAGCCATCCGATTATCAAAATTATGGTTATATTCCTCACGAGTATTGGTTTTCTGCCACAAACAAGCATCACGTCTAAAGACCAACACTTCATACCATACAAATGGATTTGGATTTGCAAACGTGTATTGTGTTGGCTGTCCATACATTTGGCAGTTGTGGTCAATATAACGCTGACTATACCAACGAAAGGGGGAAAGTATGATTCAAAACAGCACTTAATCGCTACTATGACTGCGTTTACCTGGAATATAACGGCAATGATCATGATTAACACATACTATGTCTACAGCAAACAATTGGCTACTATTATGGACACGATTATTAAACCCGATCCACAGATACCTACAAAACTAAAGTATTTGTTAAACTCACTGGAAGTGGTGACAATAGTATGCCATTTCACCTGGATATTAATTGTAAACTTTATTATAGTAATGTTAACCAATTCGTACGGAATACACATAGGACTACACATATTCTTGTTGTATACACTGACCGCTTTTAATATCATATATGTATCCATTAATTTCGTGGTATTCGTGAACATGTATGCGATTCTTATCACACGATTCAAGAATTTAAAGAATTTGATCGAAAAACGTCTAAACCATAAAAATGAATCTGTTGACTTTATGACAAACATTGCAAACAAGTAATCATTATAATTTTTAAAAATACATGTAATTTTATAACATACTCTAGATAATATTTTTCTATTTATTAGGTTTCAAACAATTAATGCAAATAAAGTGGGCGTGGAGTCTGTGTCGAAAAGCTTTCAATTCATTCAGTGGTTTATATCGCAAACAATTGTATTTATAATCATATTATATTATATTGGTGCAAAAGTACGTTCGTCGACCTTTATTAGAAAACTGTGCTAGCTAAAACAAAACAAAAAATATAATTTTTTACAATTCTTATTGACTTCAAGGCACAGAAGTTATATGTTTGTACAATACTTACTCTTATAGTGGCGTTTGTGCGTCAAATCGACGGACAGGTCGTCGGCGCTACGGTTGTTGACACTCTGGACGTCATCGGCGCTTGAATTGGTGGTCAGAGTCTGCGAAGACCTCTCTTTTTCTGCCAATGAAAACAATATCAAACGATTAGTTTAACAGCAAAAATACTACACAAAAGTCATTCAAACAATACTCAGACTATCGCTGAAACCGCTGAGACTGTCGTCGAAATGGTGGCCATTATTGTTGTCGTAGTATTTGCTCGGATGAAGTGTTTGTCGACGCTTTCGGTGACCTTTGAACTCGTGGCCAACCGTCGCCTCGTTCTCGTCATCACCGGCGGAACCGCTCGTATCAGACAACTCGTCGAACGAACTGATCGGTGGCGGCGCCGGCATATCCGAGCCGTACTCGTCCTCATCGACATCGATGGTAGTGTCGCACACGTAGGCCGACAACGCGGGCATCGGTTTGCAGTTGAGGTGATCGCGGATCAGCTCCTCGAGCGGCCGGAGCTCATGGAAGTGCATGTGTTCGCTGACCACTTCGTACTCGTCTTTGGCGGTCACTGGGAGGCAGTGGCGGACGCGGAGGTGCTCTTTGCACGCCTCGTACGCGAACAGCTTCTGGTGACAATCGGTGGCAATGGGGTTGTCATCAGCGGTGGTGGCAGTGCTGTAGTTGCAGACGAATGGGAAGTAGTTTAGGTGATGATAGATGTGCTCCCTTTGGGCGGCCAGTGATTCGCCCCTCAAATGGCTTATCGTATACTTCGGCGAACCGGAGGTCGACTCTACGGCACCGCCAAAAACAATGGTATAAATCAATGGTCGTATCGATAGCCGCGGCGGCGGACATATCCATCGCATACCTGAGCGCTGATTGGAGTCATTGTCCGACTGGTGGTGAGCCGTGGCTTCCGTGGCGTGAATGGAGTGCCGGAAGCGCTCATCGATGCGGAGGTCGTGGCACCGGATCATAGCGTCACATACGGGGCACCCAATCATCAGCGTCCGAGTGGTGTCTTCGGGGGGCAACTCGTGCGGCAGACACTCGTTGAGGCGGCGCTGGTATGCCAGCAGTCGGTCCACGAATCCGAGTTCGGTATCCGTCGCCGCCCTGTCCTCCACGGCCTGGCCCTCGATGGCCATCAAGTGTTGCATCGAGTGGTCGCCCATCTCTTCGGATGACATCGCGATTGTGTCGCAAAACACGCAGAAGTAGTGGCTCTTCATCGGCGCCGACATCGTTGGCCACGGAGTCCTACGAATGAGACAATTATGGGATCAGTTGTACGAAGGAATGGTTGAATGTCCGCCAATAGTGTACAACAGGTATACTGCGAGTGAGGGAATGGTAGGGAACGGCAGGTATGAGTGGGAAAGGGAGGCAAAGACACACATCTTTGGCCACGAATGAGATAATCATTGGATTAGTTGGCAAACAAATGGTCAAAAGAGTCGGTGAATGGGAGTCCAACAGATACTCACTCGCGAGGGACTGGTAGGGAAAGGCAGTTACGAGTGGCTACGGGAGGGAAAGGGAGGCCAATGGCGGGGGAAAGGGATGTAAAGACAGCAATGAATGGCTCGTAAGAGGGGTTATACCCTTTGGCGACAACTCTTACCACAAGATTTGAGACGATTATTGACAACACTCTTGACACTCACTTTCACTACAGTTATGACCACTATTTGAGTGGCGAATGGGAAATGGATTACAAGTCTATGCGTTAGGCTATGGCTGTGAGTGGCGTCCACTCGGCTGTCAATGCATTCACTGCCCGTTTGGCGGCAAAAACAATACGCGCCACTCGTATATGACGTTACCGTTTGAGTGTGGGTTTGAAGGGGGTGTGCAATGAATGTAAGATTTGCGGTATTTTTCTGGATTTAAATGTAATTTATAAATGATTTAGTTTTTTGTAATTATTAGTTAGGTAATTATTAATGTAATTATAGATCTTTTATTTAACAAGGTAATTGTGAGTGTTTATTAAACTAATTGTATGAGAAACTTATTGCAAGTACTGGTATTTGTGGTAAAATGTTTTGTGAAACTTCGTAAAGTTTTTTTTACAGGTTGGATAAGTTTTTAATTTTTATTAATCGTTACTAACTATTAACGTGTTTATTATTTATTTATAACAGTAATTAAATTATTATTATTTATTAAACTCATTGTATAATATGTGAAACAATATTATACCAAGCTTATTAACAGTATTTTTATGTAAAAAAGTTTTTTTTGTAACTTTTATATTAGTTATTACATGTAATGCAAAGCATAAGTTTTTAACTTTTATTAATTTAAATTTTTGCACTAAATTTTAATTACTTTTGTACAGGTTTTTGCAAATGTAAAAATCAATTTTTAATTAAAAAACTTTTTATTTACCTTATATAAAAAAAATTATATAACATAGCTCGCTCACTGAATAATTTTATGTGAAAAAATATATAATTATCTGGAATATTCTGTGATTATTATTTACGTACATTACTAATATATTGGTAAGCTTTTAAATATTAAATTTTTATGTAAAATAAATTAATTAAATCATTACCACAATTATTTGATCTAGGAAAAATACCTATTAAGATACTCGCTGTAAAACAAACGATAAAGTTTATAAATTAGTTAAGTTAAACAAAATTAATTTAAATTATGTATCAAGCTCGCTACATAGAATTTATTTACCAATATAAACCAGATAGAGTTGTAGGTATAAGGCATGATCCAGGTATAATTTAGAAATAAGTAATTTATTTTAAATACACATAAGTTGTAAGTTGTATCATAATAATTCACAAAAAAGTAAAAACTTTTAATAAAATGTTTTTCACAACGTGTAATACAAAGGCTAAATAACATAATATCATTAATTTGATTCACAAATTAAATAATAAAGTTAACACTTAATTAAGTTTAAACATAAGATACCGGAGCCCAAGGTCTGAATATAAACAGGAAACCGAGTATTAAATTTTGATATGAATTCCATATTTTAAGGTATTCATATAAGGTAGTATGCATAATTTGATCCATAATATTGATTCCCATAAGTCTGAATGGTATTTACTATTAATGTTTTCTCTATGTGAATCTTTTCTTATTACTTTAACTTATAACCACATATAAATGATACTGGTAAATATTTAATGAAATCTTATCTAGTTGTAGTAATATGATTAATTTTTTTTGACTATTAAACAAAACCTTAAATTATTAAATTTTAATACTTATTGTAATCGGATTATAATACTACCTTATACTATGTGAATACATAGTATGTGTACCAAATGTGAGCCTTTTATAACCGGTACGAACATCAATACCAGTCCGTAGGCTGTGATAGCGGTGCCACCGATGATATGAGGGTCATGTAGGGTATCTGAAATATAAAAGGTTAATCGTTGGTAAATCTAAAGCAAAAATTAATTATGAATATAATATGTAACTTGCCAAAATTAAAATGTCTGGTATAGTCATATCTCCATATGTATTATATTGGTGCAAAAGTACGTTCGTCGACCTTTATTAGAAAACTGTGCTAGCTAAAACAAAACAAAAAATATAATTTTTTACAATTCTTATTGACTTCAAGGCACAGAAGTTATATGTTTGTACCAGCACCGGTATGTTACTAGCACCGGCTGATGCTCTGGAGCTAAAACTATAGGAGATACAGAGATGATCAGGGATCAAAGATTGCATTTTACCATTGATTACTGCCATTGAAAAAGATTTTGAATTTATTATTTGTTGCAGTAATTGTCTATGGCAGTAATCAATGGTAATATGCAATCTTTGAGATGCTCCAGGACATAGCAGGCGTATTTTATTATTCGAGATCTATCTAATGTGCTAATTAAATTTACCCTGAACCTTGTAGTAATGTTAGAATAAAATCGCCATTTCCTCCCAATGCTGTAACTTAGCAAAAATTTGTAAAATTTTATATTAATAGAGATTTGAATCATCTACATTTTGCATATCATAACATTGTTCTAGCTCATTTGGTTTAATTTTAAAAATTAATGGAAATTTGGTTT